TATTTACCTCCTTCCTGGATTAAAGAGGCTATGTGGAGCAGCCATGATGGAATTTGTAGATCTAATCAATGTGGTCCATATGATAAGGACATCCAGACTGTTTAATCTTCCCCGGCTTGAGTCCCACTGTGCAGAGTATATCGCCAATCACCTGTCAAAGGTTTGTGTACACCATAGCATTGACAGTTTCAAATGGTCATACCAGTTTACTAAATGTATAAGTTTTCCATAGAAGATTAATTAACTGACAAAGTTGATCTTCAATGAAGCTTTCAAGTAGATTAATGATAGAAACAATTTGTGTAAATAAAACAATATAGGTTAAGCTTTAATAATGGTTAAACAGAACACAAATGCATTCATCAGTACAACAAAATACCCAAAAAACATTCATATAAATGTAAATTAAATTTACATAATATATATATATGTATCCTACCTTATATGAATGTTTGTTTGTTTGTGTCTAATTAATTTAGAGGATTAATTTGAATTTATTATTTTTGCAACCACTAAGTACGTTCCTTATAAATGCAGTATTTTTAAATATATTTATTGTACTAAATGTGTATTTCATTATAATTTTTCGAAAAAAAAAATTGTTTTGAACCTTATTATGAGTGGTGGAATCTTTATTAGCTTTTTTTTTGGCATAAATTGATGTATAGATCACCATGTTTAGCATAGTTCACCAGTTGGTTCAAAGATTCAATTGTGAACAGGGGAGTCATTATACAAAGGATAACCATGAATCTTTTTAGCACACTGTTATTTATTTTATTATTTTAGGACTAATTTTCATACTAACACCTTGCAGCAAAAAATAAGTTTACTCATAAGATTCGTAACTGATATCACATTTATTTTAGGTTATATGCCAAGAAAATTTTCGGGAGCTTGTTTTAGAGGACGCAGGGAATGTCAAACAGAGAGAAGAGGCAGATACAATTGACATTGTGGATGAGATTCGGTACTATATTTCTAGCTTTGTCCTGACATACAGTGAAATGGAGGAAGCCAATGAAAAACTCAAGCTTATTGATAACCTGCTGGAGGAGTTGGACATTGAGGGATAAAATTGGCACCAAAAAAAAGAGATATTCTAATCTAAAAGGCAAATTGGGGTTATTTTTGGGCCATAAATAATATTATGTTCTCAGGCTGTTTCATCCATCTGTATCTAAATTTTTCTTCATTTAAACTGTGGGTAAGTTGGTTTTTCAATACTGAATATTGTTTCAACCAAATTTTGATACTATGGAATTACAAGTCTGTTTCAAACAAAATACTTTTAGACTACAATCTCACGGGCCCAGCCCTTAACACTATGACACCTGTGGGGTTTAATCATGTTTATTTAAGCTCTGTCTAACATCAAACAAATGTTTTAAATGAAAAACCTACATTTTTGGGTAAAATATTTCCATCAAATAAAAATGCTATTAGCAAATTATTTTTTCAGGTAAAAAATATAAACTTTTCCCCTCATTTGATTAAAAAGCTGCACCTTTTTTAGAGTAATAATTCCCTCTTTGGTTGTGAAATCCCCTCTTAGGTTCCACCTTATGTGACTTTAAAGCCACCACTCACTCACATAGACTATCTAAACCTAAAAAAAATATTAAACTAAAATAAAAACAAATTAGTTTTTTTCCTCATTGTTCTTTTTTTAAAAACTTTTCTATAGCTTTACTGGGATAGAAATAATTTTTGCACAGATGAAAGTGCTCTTAATCCAGAGCATTACAGTATCAGGTGAAAAAATCACATATGCACTGAAAAAAACAATAAATTCCCCAAAATCCTGATCAAATAATAAACAGCTAACTGAAACAGAAACAAAATCTGGCAGATGGGACATGGTGTCTAAGAAATTGCTCTATCGGATGTGTTGTTCTAGACGTGCTCTTTAAATGAAAGCTTTTAAATATATATTCTGGTATTACCAAAAAAGACCTTTTAATTATTAGGTGTTAACTGTCTGAAATCATCAGGGACAAAATGTAAACTTATGAAAATAAGAACTTCTCACTAAACAAACTTGTACACATCTTTAAATATCCTTTTAAATAAGCCTTCTTTCTTATGTTTGAAAGATATGTGTTTATATATCCATTGTTTTCTTTTTTTTACAAATAAATGCACATTCTGTAATTTGCATCTTATTATAAAGGAAATAAATTATAACTGTCAGATTTTAATTATGTAACGGTTTCCAGTGCAGTTCATCTTTTGTTTTTCAAAGGTGTACTGTGCAAGAAAATGTTTGTATTAGTCTATAAGAAATGTTATTTTTAAAATGAGTTTTCATTGGTAAAACTCAACTGTTTTCTTTAAGATTCTGTGCAGGGAAATTGTTTAACATTGATCAAAGTATAGCTCTAATTATATTCTGTCATTGATGATCTGCTTTGTTTTGTTATCCCATTGTGGTAGGCAGTATATTAACCTGCATAAAACATCTGTGATACTTTAAAATTGGTTGTTGTTTTTTGTTTTTTTACCTGTCAACCAAACTGAAGACTTCCTACATTACAAACGTCTATCTAGAACATTGATTTATTTGTAGAAAGAGTTAAGAGTTTATATTTCTTGTGAGCAATAAAAAAAAAAAGAAAATTCAGGTTGATAATTTCCTTTTAAAGTTTTTATTTCCTAAAAATGTATATACACCCTTCATTTTAGGTCATCCTTGTTGCTGTTGTTGATGGATCTTCTTGGTGCACATTTTTTTTTTTCTTCTACTAATATTACTAGTAAATTTAAAGTAGAAAAGTTTTCATAGCAAAAGATGTTTCAGTCGTTTGTGTAAGTGTATATTTTAAAAATAAAAACAAGATTTGTTATCAATTTCCCATAATCAAGTATATTTTATTTTCTTGTTCTTTACTATATATGAAATTGGTGATTTTATTTTCTATAAAATAGATTATGTTTTTACATTTTATGGATTTAAGGAAGTAGAGAGCTTAATTATTGTGTGCACTAAGTTTTATCATTTATACAATTAAGTAAAGAAAATAATTTTCTAGTATTCATACAATTAAGTAAAGAAAATAATTTTCTATTGTTTTAAAGAATACTGTTACCTTAAAGACTTTGCAGAAATCTGCTTGCTGTGTTATTTGTTTTGTTTGGGGTTTTTTTCTTATTAATTGCTGTAAATTAAATGTGTGTAATTGTGAAGAATTCCTAATTATTATCTTTTCTTAACAATTCTACAATTTTTATTTTAATAGGTTATTTCTTTAAACAGCTAAATTTTATGTTTTTAACAAAGATAATTTGGTATGTCCAAGAGAATTTTTTTAAGTTAAGAAATGGCTTGGAGAGCTGCAAAAAATAAACTAATAATTAACCCTCCCAAAAAAAAACTTCTGTCCCAAATAATGTCACCTGACAAACATTCCTATTGATAAATCTTCTTTAGGCTATTAACACTACTTTTCAATTAATTACATAAATTTATATTTGAAGAACAGTTAAAAATTGGGTTTTATTATTACCTGTCTTGTATAAAGAAAAGAAAGAAAAAAAAACTTTTATTTGCATTTTAAATATGTGTATTTAATGTAAAATGTATTTTTCTGTAGATAACACATAGTTAAATTGTGTTTATGTTACAAGCAAATTACCAAACCTTATATTGATTTAAAAATATTACTATCAGCAGCTTCAAAATTCTGGCATTCACAGTTGATGGAAAATAGACCTGATATTTAGTGCTTTGTACTAATACTGGATTGTCTTTTAACAATATACCTCAGATGAATAAGGCTTTAAGAAAATAACAAACTACTCAAAACATGACCTTTTTTTTTTTTTTTTTGTTTGTTGGCATTTACAGTTTGTGTTTGTAGCAAGTTTTTATGGATTTCCTTTTTTTCTTTTAACAATATACCTCAGATGAATAAGGCTTTAAGAAAATAACAAACTACTCAAATCTTGACCTTTTTTTTTTTTTTTTGTTTGTTGGCATTTACAGTTTGAGTTTGTAGCAAGTTTTTATGGATTTCCTTACGGTTTTTGTCCTCTTAAATTGTCAAGAGAGCGTTTTTTTTAACTATAATTGACGGTTGCATTGAAAGTTTTTTGTTTATTTTTAATGTGAATGGATATTTCCTAAATATTGTAATAACAAGATTATCCTGATAAAGGTTTCAATCTAACAATAAATAATCCATTACAATAGTGAGAGATACCTAGTAAATCTTATTTTCTAATCGGTCTATTATGATGCCAGTTATCAGTGCTTCTCACGCTACTTTACTTCATTGCAACACCTCAATCAGCTTATCTGATAACTTTGCTTCGCTAGCGTTAAGTTACAATCTAGAAATTTGCATGTGTATAGATCACTATTCCACCTTATATGCCTTAAATGATTCAGAGACATAATTAATAGATTTGTTTGGGGGGAGCTAAAAGTTATTTCCACATCTGTAAATCTCCAAAGGTTTTGATTTAATCAAAATATTTCTTGAAAGTACAATTGTTACTTTTTTATGCACTTGAGAGCCTAAAGTATTGCTTATTTATTTAAAGTATATTGATTGAATAATCTAAAATAATGATTGTTTTTTGCAATTATAATTATGTATCTATTTTTTTTAACCGTAAAATGTGTGACATTAAAATAATGAAAAGGGAATTGATATGTTAAGTTGTATTTTTAAAGTAGTTTGTTCTCCTAATCAAATAACGATCATTTGCATTAAAAATAGATGCTCATCTTTAGATATTTAACAAATTTTATAATAGATTTCATGGCTCTATGGATTAATACCTCATTAATGAAAAATGGTGTCTGTTTTTTTGTTAGGGTTTTTAAGAGTGCAAATTCTTGAAAGTCTTTGGGCACACCAAATAGAATTCTAATTTTAGTTACAACAGATGGGCACTATTGTACAAATTGTAGACATAGCACAAATGAAACAAATGGTATCAGAATTCTAATTTTAGTTTCAACAGATTGGCACTATTGTACAAATTGTAGACATAGCACAAATGAAATGGGCTATTTCCTTGTTAGTTTCCTTAGTATTTATCTGCCCATATTCCTTTAATAATAAATAATATTACTTTTTTCATTGTTTCACAAACTTCTAGAATGGCATGCAGTTCATTAAATGTAGGCAACGAATCAAAAATGAATAAATAACAGTAACACAGTTTTAAAATAATTACATTTATTAAACATTAATCACCGGATTAACTGAAACTACAATGTACACAGGACAAGATTAGCAACATAATATATTTTTACTTTGAGAAAAGGAGTTTCAGTGAAATTTAATGAAGAGATTGAAAAGATCAAAATTTTAAGAATTCATTCAGGATACACTAAATACCTAAGCCAGGTATCTTAATCCATGTCAGAGCAACATGCGGCTCATATGTAGACAGACGAACTATTCAAAATATAAGCATGGCAGAATGTGTTTTCAATGATAAACAGAGGAAGTAAGCCTGCTATCACAATACAGATCTAACATCAACTTACATGTAGCACCTTTCAGCTCAACATAATCATATAACTTTAAGACAAGCCCCTTTTTCATATTTACAAAATATCTTACCCTTTGACCTCTCATATTTACAAAATATCTCACCCTGTGACCATCAGTATTTTGCTCCTTTCAATAACTAAATGAGCTTTTGTATAATCAATGCCTTCATGAAGAGTTGTTTTTTTTTATGGTTAAAAACACATCTTATATTTCAGTATAGAACAAGGAAGTCGATCTGTCAGAAAAGTTTATGCCATCAATGAATGAATGTTATTTTATACAGATGAATAAGTTTATTATGAACTCGAGTATATGAAATGACATGAAAGTGTGTAATAATAAATGCAACACAAAAAAAAGAACAAAAATGAAGCTACTGAAGTAATAAAAATGTTCAGTTACTTAACAAAATAAGGCAACGTATAAAATAACACGACAAAGCTTAGTTTTGTGTTTTAAATGTGAGAAATGCTGGGTATGAACAGAACATCAACCATATGATAAAATCAATCTGATTTGCTCAAGAGGTAGTGGTTTTTAAACAGCCTGCTTTTGATCTCTAACAATATCTATATATATAATGTGTATATAAATGACAATAAATATGACTTAAAGCCAAATTTAAATGTATTTATTAAGTCCTAATGACATGTAAAATGTTTCAAATCTTCAAATAAAATGTGTATTTTCATTTTTCCTATTACAATCTTAGATATGTTTTCCTTTATCATATCTTTGGTTAATATCCAATTTTTTAACACCACCTTCGCCAACATAAATAGACAGACTTGATGGAGAAAACTGAGATTAACAAATTTCTGGAGAATAATTAAATATAAATCACAGTCGCTAAAACATTATCACATCTAGCAGTTTGAGCTGGATTTGTAAAAATAACCAATCAAACCATTAACTTAACTCAATATTGAAAATTCTCTAATACAAAGACTTACTTATGCGCCAACCTTTACGCATAAAAAAAAAAAAAAAGAAAAAAGAAAAGAAATATATAAATATTAATAAAACACCCCATTTATATTTGATCAATAACTTTTCTAATAACATCACCAATACTTTGTTGTGGCTTCCTCCTCTCTGTTTTGGATTTTGAAAAATAACCCATCAAACCATTAACTTAAACAAAAATTGAAAATTCTCTAATACAAAGACTTACTTATGCGCCAACCTTTACGCATAAAAAAAAAAAAAAAAGAAAAAAGAAAAGAAATATATAAATATTAATAAAACACCCCATTTATATTTGATCAATAACTTTTCTAATAACATCACCAATAATTTGTTGTGGCTTCCTCCTCTCTGTTAATCTTTCTGATGCAGCAATCAATTTGTAACTGTTTCGTCGTGTGTACATTTGAGCATCTAGTTGCATCTGAGCCATTTTTTCAGGACGTATTTCATCCAAGTAGAACTCTTCGGAAAGGTAGGGGTTAAAACGGAAATAAGTATTTGGCTGGAGCAAATCCTGAAGTGTGTAGTGAACAGCTGTAAAAAATGTGTATATAAGTTACAATGGAACACATTATGATCATTATGTTCACTTAAATTATAAAATAAAACTAAATAAGCAGGGAGAAGATTTATGTACTACAAACTTCAAAATAGCAAACTAATAGGTCTTTCTCTTTATTTATATTCAACTTATGGATGATAATTTGTAATGTAAGATAAGTTATAACACACACTGAGGACAGAATATATAAATATTGTAATTAAATTATTCTTTTTTTTTTTAAATTCATTGTAAGATATTGAATGTTGTAATTTGTTTAATTTCTCACATTCAGTATCTGTAGCACTGTCAACCAGTGTAGAGAAGCGGCGTTTAAGCGTCACTTTGCCTGCTGGTATTGTTTTAAAAGATTCAAATCTTCCGGTGCCAAGGGAGACTACACAGTGAAAGTTTTCATTTGGCCACAACAGTCTACTTTCATGAATGGCTAAAGCAGTTGGATTGTTTGTTAGTATACCACCATCCTGAAAGAGATCAAACATATTTCATAAATCATTTGTTTGCTGCAGTGTGATCCAAATTATAGTTTTCTAAATAATTTCTCTGGATAGCTTTTGTCAAAGTCCATAAAAAAGTTGTAATAAATATTTTAAATGACACTTAGCTGTAACAACAAGCTTCTTATTACATTTAACTAACACTCTTTAGCCAACTTACAATCTTTAGACCTCTTACCTAAAATGTCTCCACTTCCCAACTAATTTGAATGTCATCACATTAAAATAAGGACAAAGAACATAGCACAGAAACGATAATTACTTCATGAATTTCACTCCCTTGTTGAAATGCCTCAAAATAGCCAGGTGCAGCTGAGGAGGCTCGAATCACTTCCCATATTTTGTACTTGCAACTACCAGGGTACTGAGATGTTGCACCAGGGGGGTGGTTATATGTGCGAAACATGAAGTTAGTAAGTTGTGGGGCACTGACTAGTGATGATACTGCTGACATTTTTGGGACTTCTGGATCACGTGAAAACTCCACAAACAGTCGTTCTCCAATCTCTTTTCTAAAAAGGATTATAAAATCAATAAAGAAACATAAATGTTTTTTTAAATTAACTTGCAAAAATTTTATTAAAAGCACTCACAAACTTTAACAGTTACTCATTTAGATTGAATTTGAAAAATATAATAATAATAACTTGCTAATATTTCTATCTATGAGATAAATTCAGTAGGAAATTCCTTTTCAGATACGACTTACTTAAGAATTTCTTCCCAGGAGTGTGAGTCATAAAACCCATGATTCCAAACTAATTTAGTAGTGCCCACAACTTTATTTCTGGTAAACATTTTAGTAGAACAGTCTTTGTAGAGCTGTTCACATCGATCTAGAGGCATTTTATAGAGACATATCATTGCAGCAAGTAAAGCTCCTGTGCTGACACCACACGCATAGTCAAAAAGTTGGTAGATTTTACGCCCTGTTTGTTTTTCTAAGGCTTTCAAAAACTCAATAGCAACCAAACCCCTAGGAGATAGAAAATAAAATAGTAAACACCAATTAATTTTTAAAAATAATTTCTAAAATAGCTTTGTATGCACTTAACAGGACTGAGTATTTAAAGAAAGTAAATTGTATTTTAACTCTATTTTACTTCTATTTCAGCTTAATTAAAACATTAAAAAAATCAAACTAAACTATATAAACTCACCTTGTACCTCCTCCATCAATTGAAAGAATTCTAATCCCAGGAGATGCTAGGCGTTTGCAGTGACCTAATAAAGACAGAGCTTCAAAAGCTAACCCTCTTAAAAGTTTATCAGGAGATTTTGAAAGACTCAATAGACATGGGACCACTTTCTCCTATTAATAAAAAAAAATGTAGATTTAAATGTTAGTTAAATATGAAAGCATATAAAAATATTTTTAAAAGAAATAATTGTATCATTTAACTAGTTTTTGCAAAGAAATGAAAAACAAGCAATAATGTTTAACAATGTTCTGGGTTTTTTGGGGAGGGGGTTCAGCCATTAGTTTTCAAGTACATTGTGAATTGTCTGCATCCCCTCAAACCCAAAACATTCTAAATTCTAAAAAAAGTACCCTGTAAAAGACACGTAAAGAGTGCCTGTGTAGACCTAATATAAATATTTTGTTGAAATCGATACAAAAACGAAAATTAAACCAGCATAAAATGTCAAAGAAAAATATATGCTTAAAACATCACTTACACTTGCAGCATCCCATACACATTCAGGGTGAGCCATGAGATGCTCACATAGTTCTTCTGTTCTTGTTATCTTGGACATTAAAGAATGGGCTGACTTCAAAGACTGCACTAAAGCTTTAGTTCGGGATTCTAATGAGAGTCTAGATATTTTCTCAGCTCTCCTTGCCTCTGCTTTCTTTTTCTTTGCCTCTGTGCTCGGTGTAATGGGAAACAAAGGTCCAATTGCTTGTGGTGTCTCATCTTCGATAGCATCATGTGATGAAGGATATGATGATAATGTTGTAGTATGTGGCATATCCTTCACACAAGATGTGTCATAAAATGACACTATGCTTTGGTTTATCTGCATTACAGTTTTTTCTAAGGAGTCTGCAGTATTTTCATTGTTGTGTTTTGGGTTCTGAGAATTCCCATTTTTGCTATTATTTATATTTGCTTGACGCAAAGCCATTACCTTTTTGGATGTCTCTGATATATATTTGTTAAACTCAGCAAATTTTGTTGGAATCATTGACCCTAAAGTAGCAAGTCCAAGCTGTAACTTCTGTTTCTTCTCCCCTGTAATGGATGATGAAGAATCCATAGCATGTGGTATAATGGCTGATGAGTTAGTTTTCTTTTGTGTTTTATCTGCCTCATCAGTTCGAAAGCGTTTGGTTATTGTCGTTTGAAATGTTCCATTTTGGCGACTACTTGTACAATCTATGGAGTCCTTATCCATACAAACTGGCATGGAGCCGCCAAAATATGTACAAGATATTTGATGTTTTGCAAACCTAAAACTGATTTGTAGTTTAAGCACAGACATTCTTACTTTCTGCTATTAGAAGGACAATTAAATTTAGCACACACTATAAATTATTTTTAACTATATTTAATTAGAGTGGCAGTAATTAGTCTATGTCCTAAAATGTATTATGGTAGCCTATTGCTGTAGCATGATTGACTGTTTTTTGTAATAGTTTTTGTTTTCAATCATTGCTAAAGCTTCAACAAAAACATAAGTGAATTATGCTTTTTTTTTCATTTCTACTGCATAGAAAATATTAATATCTTGTAGTTTGATTAACTTTGCCTCTTCTTTCTTCACGTTTTAAATAGGAGTATTGTTGAATTTGTTGACATACACCTCTGAATCTGAAAAAAAACCACATTTACACTATTATTTATAGACAATATTATTATTATTATAATAAAAGGGGACAATTTTTTATTGTTGAACTTAAATCAATATAAAAGAAATATTAAAATTTGCTTGTTCTTACTAGGCCCCTAAATCCTAAATAAAGTTACTTCTAGTCTACTACTACTAACAACTAGTCTACACTACTACAAAAGACCCCCAATTGACAATAAAAGACTTGACTTATTAATTAATGATTAATGTCTTAATGAAATTACTCTTAAAACTAAAATCAGTTACAAAATAGCAATAAGTCACTACTAGACTAAGTTAAAATTAGTTACAGTAATAGTAAAAATTTGTTTTAAAAGTTAACTGTTACTGTTGAAAATAACTTTTACACAACAGTAATCAGTAAACACATCAATGACATCATTATCATTGACGTTGTTTAAATTTAAAGTAGGGAGGGCACTTATAATGACTTACTACAAATAAATAGTAATTGACCAATACTACTAATAGTTAATAGTAAATAGGCTTAACAAAGCCTATAGTATAGTATAGTGTAAGGTTTAAATTAAAGTAAGTAAAATATATTTTTAAAAACTATTATTATTATTATTAGTACCAGTATAAGTATTGGTAACTTATACTTTGTATATGACTTATAACTTATGACAAATTATGACTTAGACTAGCCTATAATTAATAATATTATATCACAGGGATATACTCATATAGGCATAGGCCCTAGCCCTACCCTATTACTATTTAAATTTCAAGAATAAACAATTAACTGTACTACTGTACTGTATACATAATACATGTTACATACTACTAAACTATAGTTATAGAAGTCTATAGGGCCTGATAATTGATAATAATAATTAATATAAGCTAATAAGGCTAATACGGACCGCTAATACTAATAATAATACTATACTATACTAACTAATAACTATTAATAAATAATAATATTTTTATTTAAGTAAAATTACTAACAACTATTATATTTATGTATAACCTTTTAATTTTTAGACTACTAACTAAGAACTACTTTAGACTTAAACTTGAAGTGGTTAAAGATTACATATATATTATATGATGTAGATGAGAAAGTTACGGTTAACCGAAAGTTACTATCCAGTTATCAAAGAAAGAAAGTTATATTTAATAATCGTACCAAAAATACTCCAAACATTTGGCTTGGAAATATACACAGAACAGAATCAGAATGGTGATCCTGGTAATATACCACCGATGACTAGTTCATGATGGCGTGATAGGCTCATTAAGAAACGGGAAATTCTATTGGCTAAACTTTGACCTTCTTTGTTCTGATCTATTCTTACAAATTTAATTTATTTAAATGCTTCACGTAATATGTCAAAGTTTTCTCATAAGATTTAAGTCGTATTATTTCTGCATATACACGGTGCAGCATATGAAATCGGTTTATTTATTTCAGAAGACTTAACTGTACTTAAGGGGCTCATCCCCCCCCCCCCTTTTTTTTTTCTTTTTTTTTTTTTTTTTTGTTTTTATCATTTTTTTTTTTTTTACAGATTTATACAGCTACACACACCTACGTTTTAAACCAATCATGCGATAAAATGTATCACACGCCCCCATTAATGACCAATCAAAATGCACATAACATTGTACCGTTTATAAACATGACCAAGAATGTAGAAACGCATGGTTGTCATTGATAGCAGAAACTTGACCCACTAACCGCAATTTTTAATAATAATAATAATAAGCAAAAATGTTATCGTTTGTGTTTTGGGACGGTGAACATTAAATGTCATATTCTTTTTCTGTTGCAAGTGGGCATATATATTACGTTGTTTGATTGGGGGAAGTTATTTTTTTTTACTGATTAAAAACGTGGGAATTATCTTTTATTTTTTTCGAAATTCTAATCCTTTTCCTTAGCCTTACCTTAGTTGGTACAGACTTAAATTTAAATTTTGCGTTCGTTTATCATTAATGAATGGATGAAGGCTATTAATAAAATTGGACGAGTGCATACACACAATACTTCCTAATATTTACGATTTAAGGAGTAGGTGAGTGGGTCAAAAATGTCATAAATAATATATGATTATGATAGATCTATAACATGTGCATTGTCTCTTAAATTATTTGAAATAATATTAGCTTTATTATTGTAATATTTCGCTTGTATTTGTATTGATAATAAAGGTCACTTTTGCCTTTAAAATATGTCGTCTTGATATTGATTGAGTTCTATTGATATTCATTAGTTAGCCCAACCCCATAAAAACAACCAAACGTTGTGTAAGGCACAGTAAGGGGTCGTCTATTAATAACTCAACAATTTTTTCGCAATTTTTTACCCCCTCCCCCCCCCCTTGTCAACAATGTCAAACTTTTGA